ACGACAGCAACTTGTCTGTTCCCCTTCCCCCAATTCCCCAGCACTGTTCCCATCCCCCCAAGTCCCCAATAAAAATCTTTAAAAAAAAAAAAAAGAAAAGCAGTAAGTGAACATAGGAAATATCTGCCTTCATGGAATGTGCATTACAGGTGAGGAGGAAGGCAATAAGCAAGTAAACCCAGTAATTTAGATAACATAATGCGAGATCATTATATGTGCCGCAAAGGAAGTAAGCAAGATTGCATGATGGAGAATAACAAGAATGTTTGTGGGCTGGGAAGAGATATGTCTGATAGGATTAAAGAGGACCTACTGATCAGCATATAATGTGGCTCTATGGGAATGAACATGCTAAATGATAGCCATTCTAGAGGCCAGGAAGATGAATTGATATCTTTAGGAGATTAAGGCTGCTTGCTTTGCAGCTATCTATACTTCCTGCCCTCTTTCTCCTCATGATTCCTTCCCCTTTTCTATTAATGTTTCTTTATTAGCATCTCCTTTCCTTCTCTTCCAAAAATAAGTGGGAGAGGGAAGGGAGCATCATACAGAAATCAGGTCTGGCATGTTTCAGATCTGAATTCAGAAAGAAATACTTTTGAGTTATAAGTTCCAAGCTTTATTAGCTGTGGGACCTGAAGCTGCAGTTTCCTCATCTGTAAAATGGAATAATAATACCTGTATTAGTCCAAGATCTCCAGAGGAAGAAAAAAACCAATAAGATAAGTGTATGTGATATGTGTGTATAATATATAGTATATATAGACATATATGTGTATATACACAAATATTTGCATAGCCTATTATATATTATAATGTATACATGATATATATAGAGAGATTTATTTTAAGAAATTGGCTCATGTGATTGTGGGGTCTGGCATGTCTGAAATCTGCAGGGCAGGCTAGAGGCCCAGGGAAGAGCTGATGTTGCAGTTCAAGTCTGAAAGCAGTCTGGAAGCAGAATCCCTTCTTCCTTGGGAATCTCAGTATTTTTCTCTTAAGGCCTTCAACTGATTGGACGAGGCCCAACCACATTATAAAGGGTAACATAATTTATTCTAAATCTACTGAGTTAAATGTTAATCATATCTAAAAAACACATTCACAGCAAAATCTAGATGGGTTTTTGACCAAACATCTGGACCACATAGCTTACCCAAGTTGACATATAAAATTAACCATCACACTATTCTTTTACCTACACCTAGGATGTCATTTGGATCACATCAGTTCATGTATATGAATTGGGTTAACTTGGGCAGGTTATTCTGTGTCTCTAAACCTCAGTTCCCTCATCTGTAAAAGGCAGGAAAGATTACTTACTTCTTAGGGTTGTGGTGAGAATTAATGAAGCAATCCAAATAAAAAACTAAGCATAGTGCTTGACACATAATAAGTTCCCAAAAAATATTTCCTTTTATCATTATGCTACTAGCAATCGTTTTAAATGCTTTATAACAAAAG